TTATCACAAAATTAGCTTGCATTGATGTTTGGGGCCCTACAATTGCATTTACTTCTTCATTGTTGATCAAATCCATAGCTACAATAAAATGAAAACAAAAACCTTAATATTGGGGTCGAATTCAGGTATTCAAGCCTCTGCAGTAACTATGCAAACCAAATACCATAAAGAAACATAGACACAAAAGTCTATATGGCATAGAAGAAAAATGACATAAACCTGAAGAAAAGAACATTCCAACTGCTCTCTGCTATCTTTACTACGGATAGCTTTCATACTCTACTACCAAGAGGGTGTAGCTGAGTTGGTATCAACTAACTTCAAAATTCTACAATAGCAAAGCACAAGAACTTTTGATATACAAAAAGTTTACCTGCAAAAGCTGCACCTACAACATCTTGGGAATTCCTGGTGTGTAGAGATAGTCTTGTTTTGTAACTCGAATGAGTGGCGTAGAAATCCGAGATTGCCATGGAGATGCAAGTATCTGACATGACACCAATTGATGAGTTGAAATCCAGAACCAAGCCCACATGAACCAAGTTTTTCATTTCTTCTATTGCTCTTGCTCCATTTGCAGCCAGGAATACGAGCTGAAATCCAAGGAAACAAATGATATGAAGTAAACTGTACCCTGAATTTCCCATCTTCTTGCAAAGCATATTCAGCTTTACTACTCTGTACAAATATAAATACCCCAAATTTTTTTGCTTCTAAATTCTCAAGAAGTGCATGGAATAATTTATTGTTAAGTAATCATTATATAAATAAAATAAATAATTAAATACGGAGAAGAGGGCTTACTTAAAAGGGGTTTTTATTAGAGGACTTAGTTATCTAAATCTTCAATCTTATGGGTTAAATGATGATGTAGAATTTTGGTCGGATTAAAGCATCACAATCATAAGCCCTTTGCGTTTATACCCTTTCGCAGACCATTCTTAAACCCTTGTGAAGCCACCGACCTCCCTACCTCTCTATAACACGTCTTTTTCTTCAAATCAAGGTAAAGACTTGATTTTTCCCTTTTCCTCTCTCTTAAGAATGAATTTGTACCTAGAGTTTCCACTTCTAGATCGAAATTTTTGGGAAAATTTAAGAGCTTGCTGCTGTTCATTCTTCTGCTTTTGTCCATGATTTCCTACTGTTTTTGTGCGCATCCTTTGCTGTTTTGGGTACAGTTCTACCCCAAACAAGGATTTGAACTGAATTGACAGATTCTGATTCTAACTTCTAAATAATCCATGTCTTCTAGCAGATTATCTACTCTGGTTATAGTTGCACACAGGGTTGGTTTCTCACACCTTGTGTAAGTACGTGATCCAAGTTTAAGGTTAGATATTGTTTTTTTGCTTGATGGCATTTATTTCTTTTTCCCAAATACCCAAGATTAAATTCGGAACTTGTCTTTATATTGCCTTATCCTTTACGCAATTATATGTATGGTACATAAAAGTCACTTAAGACAGCAACATCGTATAAAATGAAAGACCACGCATTTGAATTCCTAAATATTCTATTTTTACTTGTACCACTTGAATTGGTGTTCTGCCATCAATTGAATGATCCAATGGTAATTTGAATGATGACAACACAAGTTGATGTCTCAAAAAATTTCAAATTTAGGGCAGAATTTTCTTGTGGTAAATGAAAAAAAGGATTGAATTACTTTTTCTGATGTTAGCATATTTACCAATTGAAGGCTCAAGTTTTATCTTTCATGGGTTGGCTAGAATTATAATTCACCATTTCAGCAACAATGAGGCGCATTTTTTTTTTTTTTAATTCTTTTTGGTTTGTTTGAGAAACATCTATCATTTAATGTTTGTTTTTCTTCCTTGTAGTGTTCTGCCCTTTGACATGCCAATATCTTTCAAAATGATCTGAATGCAGGGGGCTCAAGAACACCCTAAGGATGCATATTAAAAAGGTCAATTGCTCAGAATGGGAGCAGATTGCAGTACCTAAAAGGTCAGTTCAAACTTTTAATAAGTTAATTTCTTGAGATATTCTCATGAGAAGTTGATTTGGAGTATCTTTACTGATAAGTCATTTTTAATAACTATTTACTTTTCTGACAAGTCACAATTAATAACTGTTTAGTTTTCTAATATACATGAAAATCTATCAAACACAACTATTTGTTAGATTTTTTAAGAAGTTTCATTTGACAAAGTAGCTTTAATCTTGATTGCTTGATGCTATGTATATATTTTGTGTTTCATTGTGAGGGCAATAGTTGCTCTAAATCTTCATAATTATGGAAGTGGACGGAACCCATGGGGTAATTTAAAGCTTGAGTATTTGGAAAAGGTATATTACATTTCCTACGGTTGCTTAATGTTGTTATTATGGCTAGAGCTTTTCACCATTCTATATGCTTCTCTACAATGCTCCAGTACTCTTTTCATCATATGCATAATGGTTTTCCCCTTTTATTTTGGCATATTTTGTTCTGTTTGTTTTGTGTACTTGTGTTCTTCCCGCTTGTATTCATTTTCTAGAAATTTATTAATCAAAAATGGAAAAAAAAAAAAAAAGAGTTAGCAAAACTATTTGCCATTTCGTTTATTATTTTATGATATGTATGGTCCAACTGCAGTTTCATAGATTATTTATATCATGATCTAGGTTGTGAACTGATCCAAAGCACAAAGCCTTCAACTGGGAAACAATTTCGTGATTCTTGATTAATTTTAATGAACTTTTTTTCATAAAAAACCCATTATTTCACATATTTCTTGGATAATTATTTAGAATTTTAAGTTTCTGTATTAGTAAAAGTTTCTATCTTCTAATGACTATATTTGATTAATATATCTGTCCAAATATTTTTAACAAAAGCTAGCCTCTTTGCTGTAGCATGTGTTTGTATATGTGTGTGAACTGCAAGACAATGACTATTGAAAAATAAAAGGAAAAAGAAAAACACATGTTTCTGAATAGGATCTATTTTAATGTTATGATGCCATGATTTTCCCTGTAGTTGGCGTCTGTAGACATTGATAAGTTTCTATTGAGCTTATATAGACTGTTGATTTTAAGACCAAGGGGATCTCCTTGTTTAATTATTCATTTTCCAGAAAGGTTTTGTGAAGGCACATGCTGATGATGGTCTGTTAGAAATTTATCGCTTAAAGCAAGGATGGCATGCTTCTTTTGTTATGGTTGAACTCATCTCTGCCAAACACATTGCCCAGGTATTGTTGTTGTTTCCTAGTTTTTCCATCAAAATAAGTGGCTGAGTAAGAACTGTAAACTGTGAAGTCCATATTCAGGCTGGTTTGTGGGTAATGATTAGGATGCATTCAATTATTGAAATTTAGAGATCACTGTCTAGTGCAACGGTACAAGTCCTATGCAGACAGCCTTAATGGTGTGTGTAGAAGACGTGAAGTTTTGATAGCAAATCTGCTTGCATTTGCCTTAGGATCAAAAAGGCTATTTAGTTGTTTATGTTTGCTCCTTTTTCTTTGTTTGTGATCTGGGTAATTTCCAGTTGCTTTCTTAAGATTTGGAGTGCTTTTTGGTCAAAAAGAAAGATCACTGTATTGTGTGCTTTGTGGGTTTGCTCATTGGATATGTTCATGAGTTTTCCGGATGCTTTATAGGCTGCAGCAATTTGATTTGAAGTTAGAGGTGGAGAATGGAAAGATGCATATATGCAGATGGACGGGGAGCCATGGAAACAACCAATGCAGAAGGAGCACTCAACATTTGTGGTAATTAAGAGGGTACCTTTTCAATCATTAATGGTCAGGGGAGAGTGATCCTTTTGCATTTCTTCAAGACGACATCGATGTAAGGCAATGTAAAGCATCATTGTTACCCAAGGCCTTGTTAAATTATATTTATTTTTCCAAGTGATGAGGAATTGGGGCATTTAGACTCAACAAATGCGAGAAAATGGAAAGGAAGATGGCCTTGGAATGAGAGACAGAACCCATTGTACCAAATTCATCGGTTGTCAATTTGTGGTCACTCTAGCTTAGTAGGTCTTACTAGCACTTCACTAAGCATGTAAGGAACAGTAGGAACGGGATATTTTTGTTTGGTTTTTCCTGCATCTCATTCATCAACAATATTCACTGTATTGTATTCTTTTCTTGCCTAATACAGGAAGCCTACCTTTATTGAATATAGTGTTGTCAACATAGATGACATGTGTGACTCTACACTTGGATGAAATTCTGTATCTCTAATATGTAAAGTGACTTGTTGGCCGAGTCACTGCCATATCTTGAAGAAAGAGAAATTGATTATTTTCAAGATCAGACAATGTTTCTGAACTCTTGGGGACTAGATTCGGAATGTATCCTAGATTCACTTCGATCATAAGAATGAATAGATGGATCTTTTCGATCGAAATGTGTTGCCAGTTCAGAAACTGTTGACCAGAATGATCTTTCCTGATGTCTGGTTTGCAACTGAGGCCAGTTTGAGTGTAGAAATCTTACGACATATGCCAAGAGAGAACAAAGTGAAGCAACTCCGGTAATGATGAAGAGGCCACCAAAACTCTGTACATTGAGACTACCTGAAAAGGTTGTAGTCTGATCTCGGCAAGCTGATTTGTCTGGAAAATATTTCCGCTTGAGAACATCCATTTTGTCCTTGTCTTCGGTGACTTTCAAGATTACCCGAGACATGTATGCAACAAGAGGTGACCCTTGTGGAAAGGCCTGCAGCAACATAACCCATGATGCAGTTAGGGCTTTATTTTCAGGCATGATTTTGTCAGAAGAGTGCATGTTCCTAGATAAGTAAATGAAGGTATGGGTGAAGAGAGATTTACGAAGCCAAGTCCATCAGTTTTGTAGGTTGGTCCTGTCGTCATGAACTTGCTGCAATAGTGGGGAAGAAAGAGTTGGAGGATGTGCTCTGCTTCAAAAATCGCACTAACACCACCATTTTGGCTTCCCCTTGATAATGCTTCGTCAAACTCTTCAGGGGTGCTGTAATGCCTCAACTTGGATGGGTCGAAGTGCAACTGTTTTATCAAAAATTCTTTGATATATGAACCCGCCCTGTGCCCTACAAAGTCGCCATTTGTCTTCAGCTCATCCACATCAACCACTGCTGGCTGCAGACGTTGTACTGTCAGCATTGAGGCTAAGCTCGCAGTATAGCTCTGCGTTAGGATAAGCACCACAAATATCCATATAATCAGCACAAATCTTGACAGGTTGTTTATCACCTTCTCCCCTGCTTCCAAGCAAAATAGTATTACAAACATGCTATCACTAGAAAATCTATTCTTAGAACTGTTTAATCTAAAAGTTTAAACTAAT